CAGATATTACGAGTGCTGCATACTGCTGACCAGATTATGAGAATCTGGCATGTCATGTAAATCTGCTGGGTTGGTGCAAAAGTAATGGCGGTTTTACATGGTGAGTTTTTAGATAATTATAATTAAGCTCAAACGCATCTTCATCAATTACAACAAGCACTGTTACAGCCAATACTTTTTTCTCAATTGAAAACAAGATTCCTCGACTCCGTAGCATAAAAATCGGTGTCTCGGAATCCGGCAAACTCTTCAAAAGCTTTTTTTACATTCTAATGTCTGCCGAAGCGTTTTCCGTGAAAGAAGTTGTCGAGATATTAGAAGAAGGGGTAGTTGATAGGCGCGGTCTGTTAAATATGAACGACGAGAAAAAACTTTGTAGCTCGATTAGTTCAACTTTTGAAGTGTGGCGATGTGTCACGTGTGGCTGTCGGGTGGCTATAGATAAACCGGCATTACTTTTGCGCCAAACTTTTTCGCTTTCCCAATTTGTTTTGAATATCGAACGAAAATAGAACGGTCGACTGAATTTCTTGCAACATTTCGTCTAGTCTTGAGAGGATCAGCTTTGATAATTGCTTCCAATTGGTCATTGTCAACTTCCCGTAACCGGTAACCAAGTTCTCAATCTTCAAGACTCTCGTCTGCTGTACGAGACAATTTGGCTCCACATCTGAACCGTACGTTCTTTGCAGTTTTTCGGTAAAATACAATGTTGATGTAGCAAGTTATTTCTGCTGCTTTATCACCCATTACAATCACAGTGTGAAATCGCAGCTACTTTACAGTAGCCAACATTCATTCTATGGTATAAAATAAATATTAAATAAGCAGCAAGTAAGAGGTCATGGAGCAATAACATAAAAAGAGAAACGCGCATAAAAAATATGACTTAAACACACTTACTTCATAATTTAATCCAAGACCAATCGGCAAATTTCAACAGGGTATAAATTGCGCTTTTACACTAATTTAATAGGAAGGTACAAATTACCAGTTGTCAACCACAATTTGTGATATAATGGCGCATTACCTCGTCTCATCCCCTGACACGTAAAGAGAATTGAGTGGTGAGCAAAAACAAAAACAGCATAACAATGCGAATTGCATCAAAATACTATTAATTCCAAGTAAGTAATTGGAATAGCTGTCAGCTCAACTGGGTTTATAAAGCGAAATCGCATGCCCGACCAAACCTGTCAAAAGTTGGTGGCTGATAGCTAACATTGAGATGTTGAAGGCGGGTTCGATTACCGCCCGAGGCCGTGTTTTTGCACACCACTCAATTCTCTTAGGTATATAGAAAACATCATAACAATGCGAAATGCATTAAAATACTATTAATTCCGTGTAAGTACTTGAAATAAGTGTATTCTTTAATATCTAAAAGACTTATCGAGATGAACCCGTGAAGAACGAAAGAGGTCGTGTTCCCTGTGGCTGAAATAAATACCAAATTTTCCTGCTGTGGTTTAAATAGTGTTCGGCCAAGTGGAACGGAATACGTGCAAAAATTAGCACAATACCGCGCAAATATAACCGAGTATGAGTAAATATTGTAAGAACAGCCTCGTGTCTCCTCGTTAATAAAGAGAGTCTGAATTTTAGTTGTGACTATGTAAGAAACATTTTTTTAGAGGTCTTGTATTTGTGTTGTGACTATATAGGAAACTTTCATCCCAGTAAACTGTCAATGGAGGTCAGTGTCAATGTCGTACATCCACCTTGCCTATCGCTTATTCAAAATACACAATATCACTAAACCACTGCGTTACCTTATCCCCATATTCATTATCTCGACCCTGAGAAAAATTGAAATATTCAAAAGATTGTAGGCTGCTTTGGAGTTTTCAGCTGGGACCAGTAAATTTCTATCACTTCTGTGTTCGACGTTGGGATGATGACAGAAACAGAAATCGCCACTATGGCACACGCTACAGGATGCTACAAAGATCGCTACTGGTGATGTTTGTGTTCGTTTAGCTGATTTTCTGTCCCTCAAATACAACACTTTTTGATGATAAACAATGCACTCGAACTCAGTGAGGATTTAACCAACGTTTTCACGCATGCCGTGGATTAGTTTTAACATCGGCCCTTGATATAGGTGGAACGCAGGTTTGACTCCCGTACAAGTCGAATGTTTTGCATATCACTTACCTTCCCCGGATAGAAAGTTAAAGCATCATGGGTCTGCTCAAAATCAATATAATACAGAGGTCTTATAGAATGCAAGTGGTGAATTTCGTGTTTTTCTGCAGCATCTTTACCACATGTATCGTTTCTTCCACGAATTTATCATTGCTCTCGTACTTACAGCAAACTCGCACAAGTGGTACGGGAGATGAATCAAACGATGTAAAACGAGTAAGTGGTTAAATCGGCATTTCCTTCTCTGTTATGGACTTTCGATGATGTTTTTATTTTGAATAGTATGCGAATCACTGTGATGGGATCACGTGATCAATTATGCATTAATGAATCAGTTCGCATGCAATCGATTGCACGTGTGAAAATCCGTATTCTAATGCTGTCGATGTGGTCCTTCCTTGCTATCTCCCGGTGATCAGTCAGTCATTTATTCCAGGCATCCACATGTCGTGGCTCGATCTCAAAACGAACGTATCAGTGCTATAAAATTTGGGAGAGTGAGTTGTTAACTCTTAGTCAGTACACTTCGCATGGCAACATACCGCTTAGTATTAAACCCTGTCTGGGTATGATTTTATTCACTTTGACCATTCAGCTGCCTTTGTTCTGTGGCTATATGTTTTCGTGGCTCGTGCGGTGCAATGACTAGAGATCCTCTGCTTCACACATGTGGCCTATGATTCGATCCCGCGCTTGAGGCTCACCAAGCTTTTCATTCTTTGGCATTGCTGAATTGGTATTAGACTTGTCTGGGTGTATAGCAGCACTGGTTTGACACATCTGGAGGTCACCGCGAGTCATTGCTAAGGCCAGATATGTATTCCATTAGGTTTAGCAGACCCTGACAATGTCGAATCAATGACACATCCACAAGGACTGAACAACGCCGAGAGCTTTATCCTTAAGCTCAATAAGTGTAATAATACCAGAATTTCTACTCATTCTCTCAAAAGTGCGATCGCATTCTTACTTGATTTGTTAAGCAACCTAAGGGGAGCAGTGGTCGAGAGCTTGTGATGTTCGTCACGGCGCGCGTGGAGCTGAACTTCACTCCTCCATCTCTCTTCGGCAGTCAACGACGAATGTATTGTGGAAATCCTAAGCCAGGCTATTCTCGAAATTACAAAGAGACTCGCACAACCAGTATTTTGCACCCTCCAAGAAGAAAACGAAAAGCGAATCTATTGCTAGAAGTACTCTGATCCGCACATTAAAGTAAACTGTCATAACGGGTCGTGTAAATAAATTAACTAACCTGAACGGATACTATTCTGTTCACAGGACACGTTACACAATCCCTTAAGATCGAAGCGTTTCGCGCCTTCTCCTCATACTTAAGAAGTCATTCGTTAGCTTAAATTTTGCCAATTCCATATCCTCCTTCATACCTGGAAACTTTTTATTGCATTATATCACTTTAACACTTTATTTTATTTGATCTAACTTCACAGTTTTTTCACTGTGCGGATCACACTGCTTCTAGTCTTTCATACGTTTTTCGTCTTCTTCTTGAACGACGTAGAGTACTAGTCGAGGGAGTCGCTTTGCAATCTCAAGGATAGCCTTGCTGTAGCGTTCCATGGGACGTTGCGGTTGACTGCCGGCGAGAGGTGGGGGAGGGGTGGGGTGTAGCTCGGCTCCACGCGTGTTGTAGTAACTAAAACAAAATTGAGTCATAATCGGGACGCATTATTGCTCGTATTTCCATTAACTATTTGGAAATTTTTCTCTGTTTCGCAGAGACTTTTTAAGCTTTTTACACTAGAATTATAGTAGAGATTTAGTTTTATCGTTTATGGGCGCTTCCCTCTCCAAACATATTATCAGCTGGTACTCAGTACCTAAGAGTGAATGTCGAGCAGTGGTTAGAGGGGCTCTGTGTTGCACACAAGGTCGATGGTTCGTCTCCGAGGTCGGTAAGTTGGTACCGGACATATCTGGGAGGATAAGCAGCACTGACCCGATGCATTGGTAGGCCACCAACGAGACATTCTAGAAGGCTGGAATTGCATTCAATCACATCGAAAGTACGTTTTAAAAAAACTGAAAACGAATGAATGGTGTATCCCACAGGATTTGAATAACGTGGAGAGCTTCATCCTTCAAATTTCATCTGATACCTGCTAGTAAGCCTAAGATTTAGCAAGGTAAACGGACTGCGAAACGTCATCTCCTTTCTTCTCTCCCAGCGCTCCATGGAGACCTTTTTAAAAACCAAGCACAGCTTCACAAACAGCTAACCTCGTGTTAGTAAAAAACTTTCGAAGGGCTTCTTTGCGTTAAAGAAATTTCACTCAAAGGTTTAAGTTGCTTTATACATATATTTTTTTTGCAATACTTAGTCTTGAATTTGGAGTAATGTTGCTCATTTATAGTGAAGTAGGGTTTTTGGGTATTTTTTTTCCACTTTCTGATGATATTCATGAGAGGATTTCTTCATTTGTCTCCAACTCCACGAACGTCATGTGCTGTTTGATGGAGAGTTTTATTTTTAGACATGGTACGTTCAAAAAGAGTTGTAGCGTTGAAAGAGTTGTAAGCAAAGCGAGTGTCGGCAGTGCAACGGTTCACGCGCTCCCGAAAAGAGTGAGATATGGGTTCGAGTCCCGCCTGACGCAGAAGCTGTGCACATCACTCTTCATTATTGGCTTCAATGAAGTATCATTCCAACCATAATCATCACATCGGGTTAGAGTTTGGAATTTTTATTGACATTTTGTAGATATGGTTTGCTTATTTCTACTTGTATTTGTGTATCAATGGTTCTATTGCTAAATCAGTTTAGTTAAGAATATTTAATTTTCAATTAAAGGTGTTTCTAGCTAAGAAAATTTAGTGATGAACAAAAACGCGGCCTGAAGCGGGAATCGAACCCAGCGTTCCATCCATACCAGGAAAGCGTGCTACTACCACTACACCATCAAGGCATATTTTCCCGATCACTCATTCTTCAACATCTCTATCAATCGCCAACCCCTAACAGGTTTTGGTGGTCGAGTGAATGAGTGATCGGGGAAATGTGCCTCGGTGGTGTAGTGGAAGCAGCACGCGTCCCCGGTATGGATGAAACGCGGGTTCGATTCCCGCTGAGGCCGCATTTTCGCTCACTACTCAGTTCTTTTAGGTATCTATGCAACATTATAACACTGCGAAAAATGCACTAAAATACTAAAATTTCGATGTGGTCAAAGCTAAAAGCATAAAGCTCTCGGCGTTGGTCAATACTTGAGGAATGCGCCGTGCATTCGTCGTCAATTTTCAAGTTCGTTAGAGGTGATTAAATGCATATGTGGCCTTTAAAATGACCCGCGGTGGCCTCCCGCTGAACCGAATCAGTGCTGCTTATCCTCCCAGATAAGCCTGAGACCAGTCTGGTACCAATTTACCGACCCTGGAGGGATGGATGGCTGATGAGCCATGAGGGCGAGATCGAACCATCGACCTCTTGTGGCGCGACACAGAGCACCTCAAATCGCCGCGCCACATGCGCTCATTTCGGTGTGGTTAGCTATTGTAATGTTGTTCTAATTTAGTTCAATTTATCTTCCCATTCCTTATTTGTTTTTTTAGTTATCAAGATAATAGTAATCAATAATACTCCTTGAGCGGCTTGTTTGTTTTTCCTAGATTCGTATGTGTTTATATTATTGATTTATGTAATGTTATTTGTTTACGGTTTAGTAGTCATAACAGATTTAGATAGTAGTCTAAGCTCTTAGAAAATGTATTAATTTTGCTTTATTTCTTCTCGTCTGTAGTAATATATCAATGATTTATATGTCGTTTGAATCGTCTATGTTTCCTACGTTAATTATAATTCTTAGTTTTGGGACTCAGAGTGAAAAAAATGGTTCTAGCTATTATTTCTTTTTTCCACCTTCTGCTCTTTACTTCCTAATGCATTTATTATGCAAGACACATATATATGTAATTATTTATATGCATAGATGTGTACATAATATATGTATAGATAAATAAATATATATTTACCATATATAATATATATATATATATATATATAAGTATGCATGCGTATATGTACACATATATATATACACGTATGCATACATGTATACTACTCATATAGTACATACATATATATATTGCTTTTTCTTGATTTTCATATTGTCACGGGATTTTTTTTTTTGTTTTGTTGTTGATGCTCATAGTTGAATTTCCAATTTACTCTCGTTTTTCGTGACTGCTCAAGGCGCACGTTGAAACTCCAAATACGTTAAGTATGTTGTGGGCAGTTTTGTTGTTAAAATCAGGAACCCAAGGGTCTTTTGCAAGTTATAGCTCATTAAATCCTTCTCACAACTTCTAGGGTGTTTTTTCATTGGATAGAATGGTGCTTTCATACTTTTTGTTGTTTATTTCAATGCGATTCTAATCTTTGCCTGCTTTTTCATCGGTTAACATATGGAATTTTACTATTGTCTTTGAGAGTTTATTACTGAGATAGAAAACTGCTAGATTATTACTTATGTTGGCACATGGATGCAGGTCTACGCTTATGTTTCATAAATTTCGGGAAAATTTACCATACCAGTTCTTTAAGTCTACTATGTTTCTTTCTAAGAGATTCATGGGATCAGTCAATACGTGTTTTTTTTAGTTATTTTCAAAATCTAATTCGGGTAATATCACAAACGTCTTTTTTATCTCAATTCTATTTATTGCTAAAACTTATATCTTTCACTAATCATCGGCATGTCTACTGATTAATAAAATTTAGCTTACAAGCTGTTACAGAATAAATGTTTTTCAAGCATTTTGCTCAGAACTTTCTTATCAAAATATTATTTCCTTTTAAGATCAAGTCTGTAGCATGAAGATGTCGAAAGTAAATTTATAGGCCAACGTTTGACGCATTTTCGTCTACCTCTGATCCGAGATTCGAGTCGAACGCTCACAGTCGTTCGTCCTCGTTGTAGTCGTCGTCTTCGCTGTCGATGGGAGACTTATGACTAATATGTTTATTATTTATTTGAGTGACCCGTCATTACAGTCAAGTGTTCAGTTTTCATCATTTCTTTCATTCGGTTTTGCTTTTTGATCTCGATTTTGTAATGGATTATATTCATAAGTTTAATTCATGAGCAGATATCAAAATACAGCTTCAGTCAATTGTGAACTCGACAGAATTCATAATTTCAAATGCAGATATTGTGAAGAATTTCATTCATGTAGTCAGATTCATCAGCAATTCAAACATAGTCTCAGCTGTTCATGCACTCTGAAGAGTTTATGCGTTACAAGATATTATGCATAGGATATCTGATTGGTTTACCAGTGACATTTTGCACTTCCATGAGGAAACATGATAAGAGCAGAGGAAGAATTACGATCTGGCAGCCTGCCGCTTTCCAAAATATTTCTGAAAGTGGCCTACATGGGGTATATGCTTCTATATCTTGATATTCTGCCTCATTGGTCATTCCAGTGACTCTCTTCACTTCCGTAAAGAATAATCGCAGTGTTCACGCTGATATTCATTCATGTACTCACGTACTATATAGCTCCCATCTAACCAGCCATTTACTTAAGTGATTACATCATCAGGAATCTCATATTATTTACTGAAGTGATTACATCATCAGGAAGAAGATCTCCTTTTTCTGATTACGAAAAAGAGCGGTATCGTTAACCACATCATTTCTGGGCTGAAGTTTGCAGTAGTCCATGTAGGATTTGGAGATGTAGATCATTATTGCAAATGAAGATGATGGGTGGAAATTAACGAATACACCAGTTCAACATCTCCATTCAATGTTGGGGAATAGCATATCTAATGTGTTCTATCAAGAAATGTTTTCAAGAAAAAGAGGAGAGAAAGTCTCTCACACCTGCATGGTGTTGTACTGTAGGATTTTTTATTATGACAAACTGTATGATGAAGAGAAGTGTGAATTGGCAACATATTTAAACTTGGAAACGTTATGTGACATGCCAAGTGCGATTTTCTTGCAATGTGATCTGAGTCTAATTCACACAAATTGATTTTTTTTTCTTTTTCGCGATAAAAATCAATTTCTACTGTAGTCACTTCTGGAGAGTATTAGCAAATGTAAGTATTGATTGGCCAACAATTACCCAATTCATTTCGGCCTGATCTGTTGATTTTGAATCCGACAAGAATCAAAAAATTCTGCCCTGTCCAAGATTTTCATTTCAAAATGATGAAGATTCACAGCTAGAAAGCCTCTTTGAGGCATTAATCTCCGAAAAGAGTCGTACTGTTACATCAAATAATTCGCATGGGTCACAAGCCTTCCCCAGCTAACGTTAATAATTTCGAAGCCCTGCAGAGAAGCGATAAAATGAGATTGTAAGCAATAAGAAATAACTCTTAAAATCAAAACCACACAATCCTGAGGGCAATTCATGTAGATAGCCGTAGCCTGCCTGCTTAACCGATGCCACTGTTGTTCTTGAGTTCTACACGAGATCAGACCATCGTCGCGTTCGCGCAACGTTCCATTTTTTGCAAAAAGGAGGAATAGCGCTAAGTTCAGACAACAAAATCCCAAACATCTATGGTAAGATGTACTCAGGTCATGAGTCAGCTCTTGGGAAGATACTAGTGCTGACAGAATCGGCGAAGAACATAACTAGCTCACCCAGCGTATTTACTGCAACATTATGAAGACATGAAGTTTCAGCGAAACCACAAAGCATTTCTCCAGAGATACTTGTGCTGACGCGATAACGTGAAATGGCTCGAGCAGCGGACAATCGCGATTCCATGTACGTGCTTGCAAAACGCTACAAAGAAGAGATAAAAAGAGATCTTGATGAGGGTATGGCAAATTTAAGCCGAAATTGCAGGGCATGGAAAGAGCATGAGTTTCGAGGCTTGACAATTATAAAACTATGATGATTACACGTTAAAGGTATTATGGAAAATCGCTCACGATTACCACTTGGATTTCTTCATTAACCCCTCCTCTCAACGTCATGTGAACTAAAAGAGGGCGAATATGTCGTTACACCGGCTTTCTCTCTTCTAAAGTCCGTCACGCTATTTCTTCAGTGAAAAACAGAACGGCACCTGATCCAGACAGGATAAGTCCGGAGCATTTAAAGAAGTTATGGACAATCAAATAAAAATCTTCTTGTTTGACCGCTTCTAGAGCTGGCATGAACTTTGAAATATACCCTTTGATGTGAAGCGATGTGTGAGGCTTTTGCGTCAGGCGCGACTCGAACCCATATCTCACTCTGTCCGAGAGCGCTTGAATGAGCCCGTTGCACTGCTGACGCTCAAAGTTTTGCACATCACTCTACATAAGAAAAACCTATCGACATTTCTCGTCGAAACACGGACCCGTCTTCTCACTTAACCTAAAAAAACTGCAAGATCACAGTCAATGGAAAACCAGTAACCGTATTGCTGTTTAACAGGGAAACGTTTATGACACTGGTACTGATTGCAATCCTCCGTCTATATATTCGTGAATCTTGTCATTCTAAAAAGGATTGACAGAGCACTGAACGAAAGACAGTCATACGAAGAAGCAGGATGTCGGAGTGAATTTAGGGATATACACATCCACACGATAACAGAGCTTACTGAAGATCTACGAAAGTACAAAAAAACCGCTGTCTTAGTTTAATAATTTGAGAAAAGGCTTTGATTCGTTGAAGACAGAAGCGAACATGAAATATGTGCACGCTCGTCTCACTCTTATCTAAAGAAAGGAGATTTTTTGGAAGCTACAAAGATTTCACGACTAAAAGACCACTGTTCTATTACGATGTCATTATCGCCGCAAGGAAATGCTTGGGCAAGAAGATACCTTCTCGCCAAAGTTCTTTATTACCACCATCCATCACGACCCGAAATATGTCGAAAATCTCAAAATGGAACGAAAATTGACGCTGACGATTAGGCGATTGCCCTTCGCTTCGCTGAGTGGACTGC